TCCACACGAGCTGTCTGCCGGGAACGCGACGGGGGTTCACACACACGCTGTCTGGCGCTGCCGGGCTCTTCTCGGCGTTTTGCAGCATGCTCCAGTTGACGCAAAGGTGTCCTGAGCTGTCTCTCCTACCTTGGAGCGAGGAAGCGACAGCAAAAGCAGCGAGACAGACAGCGAGGGCTCTGCCCCGGGCTAATTTTGCAGGCGTACAGCTGAATCCATCTTTTTTTTTTTTTTTTCTAACGTCCTTTTGTACCTGATCACTGGCAATGACAACAGCTGGTTTGTTTCTGTGCAGCTTTTTATTGCCTGAGGGGTAGATTTAAAAGAAGGGAAAATAAAAGACAGCGCTGGAGATGTGCCACGAAGTCGCACTTTTGAACGGGAGCATGGTGCCTGTGCTCCCTGTCGCAGGCAGACAGGACCCTCTGCTACTGTCCAGAAGCCTTTAAGCACCTTAAAAATACTGCAAATTCCTTTTTGTGTCTTCAAGGTGTTTGCCACGGCCAAGAAAGCTAGAGACAGGCATTTGAAAACATTCTCACTTTGCTTTCTCCTCAAAGCTTAGACTCAGGAGCAATCTGAGCTCGTTAGCAGGGATATTGGGAGCAAACAGCTAATTCATGGTTTGCTAAAATCATGAAAAGTGGGAATAAAGCATTTACAGGGTTGCAGTATTGCTGTATGGAGGCCAAGGCTGGATTTAGGAAAGGATTCAGGATCTTTAGAGGAATCAAGCCACCTCCTCGCCTGCCCAGGGGCTGATACAGCTCCCATCACCCTGTCCCGTTAGTACCTTCAGCATTAGTTCATTTTTCCTCCACGGTGGAGAAAAACATCCTTCACAGATGCAGAAACAAAACAGGAGAAGACTGGAACAGAGCAGGTCTCCGCAGGCGTGTTTGGAAGAGTCTTAAGATGCTTTTGAGGACAGTTTCTCCTCCTGCAAGCGATCTGTCCCCCCTCGTAGCCCCCCAAATGATTTTTGGGAGCGTTCCGCCTCTCCTCCTGCAACACGGAGGTCCTAACCCTGTTGTAAAGGATTCTTAACTCAAGAGGAGAGCGGTACCATGATCATTCTGGTTTAGGATTGTAAATTCTGCTCCAGGGACCACAGGGTGGGAATTTCTCACTCGAACAGAGCTCAGCATCATCTTAAACCCACCCAGGAGCACGTGGGTCGTGCATCAAACCACGACGTGAGCACCACGGCTTGGGCAGAGAAAAATCTACCTCAGTTATAGGCCTGGCTGATGTTTACCATCTGCTGTCACCAAAACCGCAGAATCACGTTGGTTTTTTACATCTTGACATTATGTACAGACAGGGGCATGCCATGGTTTCATGCAAAACCGAATTTATAATTCCAGATGGATACAAATAAACCCAAAAGCTAGAGCAACTCTCACCTTTACAATCTTCCCAGCTGTTACCGGCTACATTAAATATTAAACCATTTCCCTCTACACTTCAAAGAGCAGGATTTTTTTTCTTTTTTTAAAGTTCATCAGTGGCAAGTTTGCAAGTCTGTCTGGAATAACAAATACCTTTTTTTCCAGTCTGATCCAAGGATTCTCGATGTCCCTGCAAGGTTGAGGTCTTCCGATGGATTTCAGCAGGTTTTGGGATCAGGCTTGGGCCACAAAAAGGACGTAGGAGGTTGAAGCAGCTTGAAGATTCCCTGCACTTGTTCTCTACAACTCAAATCTGATGAAGGAAGAGTCACCAAGGGCTCACTTACACGGCACCATGCTCTGCCTCTCTCAGGGGCTACCAAAAAAGGTGCAACTTAAAAAAAAAAAATAAATCAGTGGAGAACAGGTCTGTTAAGGGCTATAAAAAAATCAACTATCTTCTCCTTCAGGATTTCTGCTGTATGGAAACAACCCAGCGCGAGCTCGGCCGGCTCCAGGGGTTCAAACCTTGCAGATTGCCAGAGGTCATCCTGCAGTGGCCCATGGGACATGTCCTTGGAAAATTATACCTCAGGAAGCTGTGGCCTCTGCTGTTTGGACGTGCTGGGTGCAGCACAAGAAGTGAAGCTCAGCCCTGAAATTTGGAAGTGAAAGAAGGGCAGCTGTGAATTTACAAGGATAGGATCAGTAATGTGACAGCCCAGACCCGTTACATCCGTTCTACTTTATAAAATAATCCTATTTAAAATATGTTTTCTCCTAAACATCTTTCCCAAATGTCAAGCTCTGTGTCTCTGCCCAATCCTCGGGCAAAAACTCCATCATTTTAAGCAGGCGTTTGCCTAAATCTGAACAACCGTTAAGCCATAACTACATACCAAGCCGAAATGAAACACGCTTCTCTCTTTCCCATCTCGTCTCACGTGCTGACATTCATTTCCTGGAAAACCTGGATGACATCTGGCTCCTTTGCAAGCTGCTGTGCCAGCGTGCCCGTGTCATCCAGGGCATCCTGCAGCCCGGCATGGAGCAGGATCCGTGCGGCGGCCGCGTGCTGCCCAGCGCACGCTGCGTGCAGGGCTGTGGGGGAGACAAGATTTCAAGACAGGAGCTGAGACTGTTTGGCGATTTCAGCCTCAGCCGGATTCAGATGTAAACATGGGATTCCCAGGGAAGGAAACCCAGTCAGCAGAGGGAACACAGCGAGGGTGAAGGATGACTTTTCCCAGTTGCAACACCCAGCCAAGCAGCAGTGTGATAGCTGCCCTGGCTGTGCGTATCTACAGCAGCGACGGGATGACAAAACCTGCACAAGCAGCATCCACGTCCTCTTCCCCACGCAGCCATGCTGGTAGAAGAGCTTTCAGCCCGGCTTACCCCAGCTGTTACCTCCATCTGAAGGGCACGTAGCGACAGGACGAGGAGTAATGGATTTAAACTGGAAGAGGGCAGATTTAGACCAGATATTAGGAGGAAATTCTTTCCTGTGCGGGGGGTGAGGCAGTGGCCCAGGGTGCCCAGAGAAGCTGTGGATGCCCCATCCCTGGAGGGGTTCAAGGCCAGGCTGGATGAGGCTTTGGGCAACCTGGGCTAGTGGGAGGTGTCCCTGCCCATGGCAGGGGGTGGGGCTCAATGATCTTTAAGGTCCCTTCCAACCCAAACCATTCTGTGGCTCTATGATCTTCCCCTCACAGGTTACTAGTCTTCAACCCATCAAGCAGTACTAACCTGGCTGAGCCAAAGCTAACCAGGTTTGCAGTATTTTAGAGTATTTAAGCCAACCTGGTTCATTTTGACTGAGTCAGTGCCCACAACAGGAGGAGGAAGCTGTGGGACAGAGTGGGCAGAGCAGAAGGCGTGGATTTAATAGTGATGGGCAAGAGAGGGGCTTGAAAACACTCTGGATGTGACCAGGGTCCTTTCTGGCTCATTCCAGGGTCAGGGAGTAAATCAAAGGTTTCCACACACTGCAGCCAAGAGCATCCACAGGAGGAGGCTGAAATTCTCCAGCCCAAGCCCCAGCTCATCCCACAGACCCCTCTGACAGCCAGCACGCTGACCTCCTGGCCTGCACAGGGTTGAGTATCTTTTTACGCTGAGGGTCATTAGCTCCTGCTCCAGGCCGATGTTGACAACAGAGCATCCTGATCCCCACTGATAAATCCATGCAGGAGCAAAGTCTGGGTGAGAAGCTCCCCAGGATGGTGTGACACTAACGCGGCAAAGATGCCGGGGAATGGCACCCATGAGGAGCCACCACAAATGTCCCAGGGTTGGACGAGTTCAGCAGAGCTCAAATCTGCGCACTGAGGGGGTGGAGGGAGAGATCGAGAGAGATGCAAGGACCGCTCCTGCTCGCCGCTGAAGCGTGTTATTAAGCAAACCTGAAGAGTGGGTAAGCTGCCAATTTTGGCAATGGTTGAAACCATTTATATATACTTTTTTTTTTGAAAGGGAGGTGCTGATGCAAGAGATGCCTCATACTCTCACGCTGGGAATGCCAACTCACTGGCATTACTATAGCAACTATATTTACGTTCAAGCTCTCTGTTATTTGCTCATAAGCCATTCCTAGGCAGTTTGTTAACGAACTGAAGCTGAAGAGCTCATGCAATCGTTTGTCTGTCCACCCTCGCCATTTCAAACTGGGTGATTTCAAGCAAATTTGATGGCGAGGCGGTGGTATCAAATATACAAAGCTCCTGAAAGTTTCATGCAAAATAAGCAGCCGGGTAAAGAGGAACGCCAATTAGCATCTCTGCTCTTCCCCCAAGGGAAAGGCCACAGCGCAGGCTCAACCACGCCATTAGACATCAGAAAATCCAGCAAGAAGAGAGCCAGTGAATGAAAGCTGAAAAAAAAAAAAAAAAAAAAAACCAAACCAAAAACCCAAACGTCATGCTGCTCTGAGAGCCATTTGCATACATGCATCTGGCATCCCCTCGCACGCTCCGCTGAGCAGACGCAGCGCGGGCTGCTCTGGAGGCTGGGCTCCCGTTACTAAAGCGTATTCTCTCTGTCATACAGAAGGTGAACAAATAGCTCGGCAGCCTTACCGGAACGGCTCTTCCCATCCTTCACGTGGACATCAGCGCCCAGTGACAGCAGCGTCTGGATGGTGCGCTCGTGTCCTTCCTGCAGAGGTGAGCACGTGGAATTCAGAATCAGCTCTGAACAGTTTCTCTCTTTTGCATTTAGCAGAAATAATACAGGCCTGAAAAGAAAGGATCTGTCCCTAACTGCATGTGGCACCTGGAAGGGCACAGACAGAGATCTGCTCGGTCACGGTCAAATCTGGAGCTACCAGGAGCTGCTTCAGGCTCTGGAGGACCTTAGAGCAGCTGGAAATCACAATCAGCTGCCCAGGCACAGCAGACACACTGCTGTTATCCCCCAGGAATCGGCCAGAGAGATGCCACCGGGCACCTTCTGCAGCCCCTTCCACTGGCAGCCCACGAGAGGAGTCAGAGCTTGGTCCTCAGTCGACATGTCTGCATGCACTGCATGTCCCTAGCAGCAATTTCAACCCAGAAAAGGCAGCAAGAGGCATCCCAGGAGCGTAATTCTCTTTGTGAAAATTTAACACAAGGTTTTAAAATCAAAAGTGTTCAATGAAGACCAACAGTGCTTAAAAATCACACTATAGTGCAGAGACAGAGCGGTGCCTTGGCACAGCAAGGGTGACAGACACACAACCCAGGGCAGATCCAGGCAGGTGGATCTGTAGATCCCATACGATCTTCCTGATCGTGTCAATAAATCCACCTGGCACAGCTGAGCATGAGGAATTTGCAGGGTTGTCTCTCAGCACGGCTTTTCCTTTGCCGGGGGCTGTGGAGGAGTTAATGCAGAAACAACATCTGACTTACAACTCGGTGACACAACCTAAAGATGTTTCTTAACAGTAAATTAGTTCATTAATTTGTCAACCGATCTCACTTTTTCCTCTCCAGTCCTCACCTCCTATCAAGTAACTCAATTAAATTGCTTTTAACTTCCGCTGGCCACAGAGCTGCGGGATCCCTGACTTACCTTTCGTAATCGACAGCTGGCTGTTAAAAGGACTAAATTCAGCAAAAAGCTGGGTGTTTTCCCACACTATGAATCCACTTCAAGCACCACAGGGATCTAGAGTTGCTCTTCCCGAGGTTTTATTTCAGCTCAGAGGTCAGAACCTGCTGCTGATACGGACTGTTGCGCATGTGCCTGCGGTACCCTCCAGCACCGGCATTTCCTAAAGGATTACTCCAGTATTTTTAACACGTTCCGAGAAGACGCAGAACGCCACGCTTACACACCGTCATGACCCACAGCATCCTCTCTTTCCTCTGCCCGTAGCCAATTTGAAAAGCTGGAGGGGAAAACACAACACAGCCCCCACAGCCCTCCTCTCTGCACAAGCTTCTCCGTAAATAAATACTCTTTCCTTAAACAACACGCCTGATTTTGTAATTACTTCTTCAATGCCATGAATTAGTCTTTGTCATGCAGCATGAGAATGGAAGGCTCTTATTTTTATCCCCACCACCCACACTTTTCCCCCATTGCTGTATGACTCGGGAGCATCTTCCCCCCTCCTCAAAGCTCCCGTTTCTTTCCCTGCTGCACACACACCCCCTCTCAGTGGCAAAAACAACAAGCCAGGAACTGCTTTAGCTGCCACAGCCTTGGCAGCAAATTGAGTTGAAAGCGTAATTTGATTTTCATGTATTTATAAATGCAAAGTAATAAGAAAAGAAGAAAAAAAAAAAAACCCACCAGCCAAACAAATGATGCTGTAAATATAAAGTGACACTGAGCCTCAGGAAGGAAGAGAAACCCATCAAATCGCTCCCCAATCAGCCTTTCGTCAAGACAGAGCTGGGATCTTCTCCAAGGCACATTATATTCCCCCAATAGCCTTGCTGTTAAACGTACCCTTGGCAACCAAAAGGGCTTTCAACGTGGTTTCTCAGAGCATGAGGAAGAGAAGCTGGAAGAAAGGCCTCTTTTGTGGGAGCCAGCAAATGCCACGGCTGGCTCCTGCTGGAGGAGAATACTGTTGCCAGCACTCCCAGTGTCATTGATGCTTTTGTCGGAGCGGGGTGCTGGGATGCTGCTTCGTTCCCACTACAACTGGAGCGGGCTCTGAGCGCTGCATGTTAAAACTCACGAGGTTTAACACACAGGGATCTGAGCAGGGACCTTCCCTCGCCGCTGGCTGCCACCGTGGTGTGACAGCACCAAGCAGAAGGGTCCCAGGAGGGATCCTGGTCAGTGGTGAGGCTTTTGGGATCTGCTCTGTGCTCCCAGGGAGGGTTGCAGGACCCGCTTCCCACACAGGCGTGAGGCAGGAGGAGGAGAAAGCCCAAACAACTCTCACCGCTTGGAATTCAAAACAGCTGCTGTGTGAAGGACACAGATAAGCACCCAGGAGCTCCCTCCGCCTTTCCACCTCTATTTTCTCATGTCTGGTGATGGGCAGGCCAGAATCTGGCCTACTGGGACAAACAGCTGCTATTTCACAGAGCATCAGCCATTTTTTCTTCCACCAGGGTTGAAAAAAGACAAAAAAAGAAATCTGAGCAGCGTTTCATCCACATCTGCTCTGCCAAGCAAGTGAGAAGATGCTGGTGAAGAGCCACCACAGCTCATGAACTGTTGGTACCTACAAGGTCCCAAAAACTAGCAGGGTGGACTCCCTTCATGTCCCTTTGGTCCAAATGCAGCGAACTGGAAGAGTAACACCTACCAGAGGTGTGGATCAACCCCATCCAATGGGATGTGTGTCTCTCACTCCGTTCATGTGGGATCCCACCCAGCCACACGCCAGGCAGGAGGGTTTACTAACCCGCAGCACAGTCAGCCGCTCTGCAGATAGCCAGGCACCCTTCATGAGGGTCTAAAAACCATTAAACAGGGTATGGGACTGGTCAGGAGCAGACAGACGGTGACAGAGGATGAGCTAGGAATGTAAACCCTCCATTGGTGGTGAACAACTAAACCAGCCTGGTTTTAGATGCCTGCCAAGGCAGAGACTTTGCAGAGGAAACCTGGGAACAGGGACAAACCTTGGCTGCGTAGTGCAGCGCTGTGAGCTGGAGGGTTGTCGCTCTCTCGTTGATATCAACACCCAGCTCAGAGATAAGGAACTGGATGGCTTCATCCTGGGCTGTGACGGCTGCCCGGTGCAGAGGTTGAGCGCCCAGCACATCCATGGCTGTAGGACAGGCCTGGAATGGGGGAGAAGGGAAAGGGAAAGCAGTGAACAGTGTGGACAAACCTTCAGGGACAATCACCAGCCCAAACAGAATCACTTTTGCCTGTCACTGCCATGGTGAAGGCAACGAACACGTGGGATGTCACCAGCAGGAGTGGTGCAGTTGGTAGCACCATGATTTGCAGTCCAGAGTCTGCTGTCTGCTGAGCTTGTTAAGTGATAAGCAAAACTAGCATCAAAAAAGAACCACCAAGCCCCCTCTCTCTTCACTTGGAACATATAGGATGGGTTTTAACTCTTTAAAGCAGCAAGAAACAACCCCTGTCCAACCTTTGCACAGGGGGAGATGAACTTGGACACAGGCAGAGGGAGGGAGGTGGGTGGATGACCTCATGAGATCTCTTTTGTGAGTTTCTGAATGTGAACCACAAAGACTAAAATCAAGAAAAGTAATGGAAGTGATACACAGCACTCATCTGAAAGGATATAATCCAGCCTCTTGAAGTCTAGTGGGTCTGACTCATGGTTTTATAAAACCTAGAAGGTAAAACCATTAACGCTTCCAGTGGTGCTTCATGGCAGTAAGCCAGCACACCACAATGAGGAAATTAAATCAGCTATTCCACCCCATTGCCTGAAACACAAGACTGAAAACGTAAGGAAACTTCACAAATGTTTTATCCTGTACGGGCCAGATGAAGACAAGCACATGAACGTCTCCTGAAGTTCAATTGGTTCAATTGGTTGAAAGGCCGCAGACAGAGG